TTTTTTCAGCCATTTTGTCTTCTTATCAAAGTGTTGTTTCGCTCTAGGATCTCGAAGGAATGACTGAAATCTTCCTAACCTGGTTACGCCGTCCTGAGAACGATCACCTCTACAATCATTTGTTGTCACTCCAGCCAGTACTAATCGTGAGTCTTTTTGCCTTATTTGCAAAGTTGTTTAAACACTGATGATTTTCTGTTTCATTAGGACGAGTTACATTTGCGCATGTCTCGAGCTGATTCGGCTGTATGCGGAATTCCTAAGAAAGCGCTGGCAAATGTTTTGGATCGTCTAGGTGTCACGTTCTCACTACCGCAGCCACCTGGAGGACGGAAAGGAATGCACAAAGTGGGGAGGAAAACGAGGAAATAACCTCTCTCATTTTGTGAATTTGCTCGTTCTACCCTAGCTTTACCTCCTTTCAGATTTAATGTGAACTGCCTTTTCATTCTCTTAAACTCACTATTTTTGATTCTCTTTTACTAATAATTGTGTTTTTTCCGATTCATGATCTTATACAAATCAAAGAAGTGAAGAAATTAACGATAGAACTTACGATTAAACGGTTGAATTTGCTCTTAGTTAGTTGCCAAATTATAGTGCTAACAACAATTGTCGGGTAAATGGATTGTTTTTCACATGTTGTTGTCTGATAAATCTCTCATAGTTAAAGCCTTTTCCGATCTGTGATACGAGATCGCGAAAGTAACTCTATGCTGAATTTACTCAAGCTGTAGTGACTGTTCACTTCTCTTCACTTATAATTGATCAAATTTAGATGAAAATGTTTAGTGAAACTGTTTATTCTTTTGTTAGTTAGATTTTCTTCGCATTCATCCCATTATAATAGGGTCTGTACATTTTTGGCTAGTATTTATCAACAGACACGATTAAGCATGGCTTTCCAATCGGATCAACACCTAAGCTTGAAATTCAACTTTCTTGATTGGAATGTAGTCTTGAGATTTCCTCAAGGTTAAAATCATACGATGATCGTGGGTATTAGCAATGCCTTTCTTTGCTCAAAACTGGAAACATAACTTTTGTTAACAACAACTCTCAGTCACTTAGCAGGCTCATATTCAGTAGATGACACTTTTCAAGAAAATCACTATCTTACACCTTCCCTCACGTGCCGTTTTTGCGTCGTGTAGATAAATCTAAGAGAAACTAAGAAATCCAGTTCATTGTGAGAAATGAAAGGAAAAATTTTGAGATGTCCTCATAACTCATAGAACTAATAATAGATCATAATTCGCCACATTAATCTTATTGACTCTTCTTGAGCGAAAACGATTAGCATGCAAGAAATCACTATTTTATTTTATTTTATAGCAAATCCGTTGCTTTAGGAGAAAATAAAAATGATACCTTAGAAGTTCTGTTCCATTTTAAGAAAAAACTATATGTTAATTCGTTCAAACTACAAAAAGAGATCAGATGAGACCTAAACCAATGATTTCTGGGCTGTTTGGAAAATAATTGGCGGAGAA